CACTCTTGACATAAATTGCAGCAATATCTTTTCTGATTTATCTCCCAGAATAATGGAAATAAAACCAAAAATAAATAGATGGGACCTAATTAAACTTAAAAGCTTTTGCACAGTAAAGGAAACAATAAACAGAATGAAAAGACAGCTCACAGATTGGAGAGAATATTTGCAAATGATATAACCAACAAGGGATTAATCTTGAAAATCTATAAACAGCTCATGAGACTTAATATCATCAAAACAATCCAATCAAAAAAAGGTGGGAGACCTAAAGAGACATTTCTCCAAAGGAGACATACAGATTGCCAAGAGGCACATGAAAAGATGTTCAAAAATGCTAATTTTTAGAGAAATGCAAATCAAAATGACAATGAGGTATCACTTCACACCAGTCAAAATGGCTATCATCAAAAAATTCACAAACAATAATGGAGAGGATGTGGAGAGAAGGGAACCCTCCTGCATTGTTGGTGAGAGTATAAACTGGTGCAGCCACTATGGAGAAGAGTACAGAGGTTCCTTAAAAAACTAAAATTAGAGCTACCATATGACTCTACAATCCCACTTCTGGGTATATATCTGGAGAAAACATGATCTGAAGTGATACATGAGCCCCAGTGTTCATTGCAGCACTATTTACAGTAGCCAAGGCATGGAAGCAACCTAAATACCCATCAACAGAGGAATGAATAAGGAAGATGTGGCACATACATACAATGGAATGCTACCCAGCTGTTAAAAAAGAATAAAATAATGCCATTTGCAGTAACATGGATGGACCTAGAGACTGTCACATTGAGTGAAGTCATACAGAGAAAAAGAAATATCATATGACATCCCTTATATGTGGAATCTAAAAAGAAATGATATAAATGAACTTTAAAAAATGTATTTATTTTTGGTTGCCCTGGGTCTTTGTTGCTGCTCTCGGGCTTTTTCTAGTTGTGGCAATGAGGGGCTACTCTCTAGTTGTGGTGCATGAGTTTCTCTTTGAGGTGGCATCTCTTGTTGCAGAGCACAGGCTCTGGAGTGCTTGGGCTTCAGTATTTGCACCTCCTGGGCTCTAGAACATGGGCTTAGTAGTTTGGTGCCACAAGGCACATGGGACCTACTGGACCAGGGATCAAATTCATGTCCGCTGCATGGGCATGCAGACTGTCAACCACTGGACCAGCATGAAGTCCCCAAATGAGCTTATTTACGCAAGAGAATCAGACTCACAGACTTGGAGAACAAACTTATAGTTGCAGGGAAGGATGAGGGGAAGGGATGGTTAGGGAGTCTGAGATCAACATGTACACACTGCTGTATTCAAATTGGATAACTAGAAGTGTCTACTGTATAGCACAGGGAACGCTTCTCAATGTTTTGTGGCAGCCTGCCTGGGAGGGGAGTTTGGAGGAGAATGGATGCATGTATATATATTGCTGAGACACTCAACTGTGCATCTGAAACTGTCACAATATTGTTAACTTGCTATACTCCAATATAAAATAAAAAGTTAAAAAATATATAATAAATGTGGGCTTAGTGGTGAATGTTTAGACAAAATGGAACACTATTCAGCAATAAAGAAGCAAACCAGTGGTGTGTCTGTAACATGAATAAATCTTCAGAGCATTGTGCTGAGCAAAAGAAGCCAGGCACAGTATCTAGTGTGGTCCCCATCATATAAAATGTCCAGAAAAGGCAGGTCTATGGAGAGAATCAGAGTAAAGATTGTCTGGGCGTCAGAGATGAGAGTGGATCTTGGCTTCAAAGGATCTTTGAGACAGTAGGAATGCTGCAAACCTGGATGAGACAACTGTTGCAAAACTTCCTTTATTAAAAGTAATTGAATTAAAAAATTACTTTTACTAGAAGCTTTATTGAGGTATGATTTATATACCATAAAACTCACCCTTTTAAAGTGTACCTTCAGTCATTTTTAGTATTCTCAGACTTGTCTACATATTACCATGTCCAGTTCCAGAACATTATCATTACTTCCAAAAGAAACCCTTTCCCCATTCACAAGCCACTCTCCATCCCCTCCTTCCCCGTCCCCTTGACTGCCATTTGATCTACTGTGTTTTCATGAATTTCCCCATTCTAGATATTTATATGTGCTTTACTCAGCCATGTCCGAGTCTTTGCAGCCCTAAGGACTGTACCCCACCAGGCTCCTCTGTCTGTGGAATTTTCCAGTCAAGAAAGGCTCCTCTGTCCTTAGAATTTCCCTGACAAGTATACTGGAGTGGGTTGCCATTTCCTACTCTAGGAAATCTTCCTTACCCAGGGATCGAAACTGTGTCTCTGGCATCTCTTGCATTGGTAGATGGTTCTTTACCACTAGCACCACCTGGGAAGACATTTATATAACTAGAATCATATCACCTATGGACATGTATATCTGGCTTCTTTCATTTAGCACAGTGTTTTCATAGTGGCTTTGTGTTGGTCTCAGCCTGTCAGTAATGATGCTGTGACTAGGAATATCTGAGATGGGGGCTTACCTGGGCCCCTACTACTCACAGCCCCCACAGACATTTCACCAATGAGCCATTGCCACGGCTGGACCCATCCTTATGGTTCTTACTGTGATTGCAAGATGCATCTCAGCAACAACCATCAGGAATCTTTGAAAATATAAGGTTTATTACTGAGGATCCTGGGGAGTAGGTGACACACCAGGGTCATACAGCAGAGAGAGAATGAGAATGTGGACTGGGAGTTCTGCCCATATTTGGATCATGGGGGCTTACAGGTTCATTATTTATTGATGAATTTAAGATATAAAGCTGAGGATTAAGGCACAGGAAGGGAAGAGCACAGTTCACTTCAGGGAGCAGTCATTCAAGTCACCCAGGGCTTTCTATGAGGAGACCATTGGGTGGAGGTGGGGGGGGGTGGTCCCATCCTGGCTCTTTATCTAGTTGTGTGGCTAGAAATGAACTTACCCAAGATTGATGTTTAGTCGTGCCTCAGAAATCAGAAGCTTTCAGTACAATCAGGTATTTGCATTATGGTCAAAAAAAAGGTAATTGTCGGATACCCATATAGTGTAGTACAGAAGTTCATCATATAGTAGCATTCTTCAGTGCTTCCTTCCTTTTTATGACTAAATAATGTGCCTTTGCATGTATAGATCACTTTTGGTTTATCCATTCATCCATTGATGCTTATTTGGCTGTTAGCAGTCAAACCATTAAAAACATTTGTGTGCAATCATTTCTATGGGCACAGGCTTTTAATTCTCTTGAGTGTATACCTCGGAATGGGATTGCCAGGTAATACAGTGATTCTGGGTTTAACACCTTGAGGAACTGCCAAGCTGGGTCCAAAGTGGTTGCTCCATTTTACATCCCCACCAGCTGCGCAGGAAGGTGAAAAACTTTACTCTTGCATCTTTTTGTCGTGTGCTAGATATCTTGGTCCTTAATAACAGTGATATAACTGTCATGTCCTATAGCAAACACAAGATGGTTTTAAAATAATAACAATTTGTTACTATTAACTAGGATACTAAATGAAGTTCAGTTAGTCTTTATACCTCATTTTATCCAAAGAATACATAGTTAAATACCACATGTTAAGGTCAGGTAGAAAACTGATTGTCTCTTGTAGTTTTGTTTCCAATTGCATAAACAAAAATGTATTTGTTGACATTTATTTTCAACTTTAGGGATTGCCCTCCCTCCTCCTTTTGATCATGTAGCATATTTACATGATTCAAAAGTAGAAAGTGTATAATGGTGCATTCAGACAAGCCTCCATCTCTCCTCCTTCCCTCCTCCCAAGGTAACCTAAGTTTCTGGTTCATCTTCTCAATGATTCTTTTGGAAGTAAAGATACACACAGAGACATAGCTGATCAGACTCAATGCTAAGCCTAGTCAGGAAGCCTTTTTTCTGCCTCTCACCCTGGGTTTCCCAGAGCTCAATATGCCGTGTTTCATTCATTTTTACACCATGTATTTTGTTGTTAAAGTAACTTCTGAGATGAATTCCTCTGACCCTTCGCTCTGATTGCCTAATGCCTTTCTCTCCTCCCTTTTCTCCCCTCTCCCTGTAACCCTCTGAAGCTCCTTTCTGTTGTTTCTCTCTGTGCCCGAACCTTGTTTTCTCACTTCTCGCGCTGATCACTTGGGGCTTCATTTCCAGCAGCTTTCCCTCTCAGGGAAGACCCAACCTCCTATGAGGGACTGTTTGCCCATTATTTCTCAGACCATTGTGTTCCCCGATGGCCACGGCACTGTTAGATCATTTAGCAACTTCGGGAACGTCTTTTTTAGTCACCTGCAGCCCTGAGCCTGAGAGGCTCAGATTCCACCTGGGAGCTGCTCTCCTATTGGGGATGCTCACTAACTGGTGACTTTGGAGCTCAGCAGCCTGTGGCCCCCACTCCCTCAGTTGTACTGTTAGGTTGCATCTGCCTAGATTCTGAGGTTTGTGGGGAGCCCTGTCACTTGGGTCTGTTTTCCTGGCTGTGGACATCTCTGACTTCTTTTACTATTTCTGTAGGCCTCTTGTTTTTATTGGGACATTAAAAGACTACACTGCCACCCTGATCTCACCCTACTCTCAATGTTTCCCAACAAACAGTCAGACTCAGTGAGAGAGATTAAATGAGTTGTTCGTGGACATCCAGATATTGAGAGAAGAAACTCTACTGAAACACAGATTATTTCATCCAAGATCTATTTCTGGTGTGCACCCACATAAAGCAGGGTCATTTACTCCTTAGCACCTGGCATCATGTTCTTCATAACTGTCTGCCTGAAACTGTTTAAATCTCAGTATGGTTGCTGCTCTTTCGGGGTTCCTGGGGGCCTGTGCACAGTCTGTGGGGGGGGCTGTAGTCAGTGTGCTGGGCTCCCTAGTTCCATCTCCTCTTACTTCTGCCCCCCAGCAGCACTGACCACAGTCTGGAGAACCCCTGGCGCAGCTGGGGTGAGTGCAGTCAACAGCAAAAGAAACCAAGGTTAGAAATGTGCTCTCAAATGCGTGTTTGCTCTACAGGTGCCACCTCTCAAGGAGCGAGACAGTTCATGCAATGCGAGCAGAAAGCATCAAGGTGAAGAATCCACCTTGCGTCAAGGGAGCCCTGACCAGAGGCCTCTCCCTGGAGGACCCCGGCAGAGGCCCAGGAGACCTGGGACAGCGCAGGTCCTGGAGTGGCTGCTTATTTCCCAGAAGCAGCCGAAAGTCAAGAAATCCTGGGTGAGTCCTTGTTTATTTCCACTTCTTTTCTTTATTCCTTTTTAATTTTTTTGGTGGGGAGAGGTCCTTAGATGGGAGCATTTAGTTAACTTCTCCTTAGGTCATGGAAGGTCCCTGAGGTCCCTGTTTCCTGGTTTCCCCAGACTTGATTTTTAGCTTCTTCTCCACTCCCACAATTTAAAAATGCATATTGTTCTTTTTATGTGTGTACAAAATGTGTATTTTTGTTGGTGTGAATGCATTTTTAATTTATGTTCATGGCATGTACACATGTGTCTCCTGCTCTATTGCTTATATTTTTTGTTAAGTACTTTGTTTCATTAAGCACCATCCTCTTATATGGCCATAAGCAATGTCTAGGTGTCCACTTGCCTCACATTCTCCACCAACTACTGTTATTCCTTTTTTTTTTTAATTGGAGGGTAATTACTTTATAATATTGTGATGGCTTCTGCCATACATCAACATGAATCAGCTATAGGTGTACATATGTCCCCTTCCTCTTAAACCTCCCTCCCGCCTCCCTTTGCCTCCCATCCCTCTAGGTTATTACAGAGCACCAGCTTTGGGGTCCTTGTGTCATATAGCAAAGGACTCCCTATTACATTTTATGTATTTAATCTTTGCTTTTCTCTGCAATGCTGAACACTTCTTTTAGGCAAGACTGTCTTTCATCCATTTTATATTACCTAACATAGTTGAATACCTGTGTCGACTAAAAAAAAGATATACAACTTGAGAGTTGTGAGTTAAGTTTTATTTGGGGCAAAATGAGGACTGCGGCCTGGGAGGCAGCATCTCAGGTAGCTCTGAGAGACTGCTCCAAAGCGTAAATATATAAGGTTTTGGTGAAGGGAGAGTTCAATACCATGAAGCACTCAATTTACAAAAGGTTTTTTGTTAGTCATGAGGGTCTGATGTCACCATGAAGGGATTTACTGCTTTTCTAGATATGAGGAGATGCAAGGACTGAGATCATAAAATCTGTTTCTAAAAACATCCAACTATCTAAAGACCTGTCCCACCAGATCCCTTGAGCACAGAGTGCCTCACTCCACCTCAGGGGTTGTTGAAGGTCAACAGCTATAGCAGCATGGGGCTCAATCTCTGCAGAGGCAGATTTCAAATGCCTTTGTTGTTCAGTCTTTGGCAATGCTCTTGATAAGTGCCAATTTGTAGTTGACACCTGGCACATGCTAATATATGTTTAATGAAAAGTTAACTGATTTAATGCATATTGATGGGATATTTTCAATGAATGTTTGCTTTTTTCCCAAAGCAGAATGTAAATAATTGGCTCTCTTGGCAGCCGTTTGTTTACTCCAAACTCAGTAAAATGATTTGAGATTGAATGGAGATATGCTTTTTCAGGGACCATTGTCATTCATGGATGTGTTTGTGGACTTTACCTGGGAAGAGTGGCAGCTGCTGGTCCCAGCTCAGAAGCACCTGTACAGGAGTGTGATGTTGGAGAACTACAGCAACCTGGTGTCCCTGGGTGGGTAATGCCTCCCTGAAAGGAGTATGTATAATCTCCAGGCTTCCCCTTCTTGGTGGCTGAAAGCTGGGGCACTTTTGTAAAATACTTGAGATTTGGGGCTTATATTTAAAGGTCAGATTTTCTTATTCTCCCTTTGACATCAGAATACACTGGTTGAATGGTGTTTACTTTGCCAAATGCAAAAGAGCAGCTTTATCATGCCACCTCTAAACTGAGTCTTCCCTGTTCTTCTGAATCCCTGAGTCCCAGGAAGCCTTGGTCCAGGTTGTCTGTGATTTTCCATTCACAGGGTATCAACACACCAAACCCAGTATCATTTTCCAGTTGGAACAAGAAGAGCTGTGGATGATGCAAATCCTGAGTCAGGGCCATCCAGGTGAGTGACCAGGACATTTAGCTCTTTCCTCCTTCCTCAGAATTGCTGTGAGTTCTTATATGATGTTTCCTTTGTGTTTGTGTTTTTGTGTTATTGTGACCATTTTCTCTTCATGCTCTCTTTTCTGGCATTCTCAGCTTCCTTCTTACTTTCCTGGGGTGATAGACTCATTTCATGCTGCATTTAAGCAGCTTTTCCTCTTTACTTCACTGGATGTGACTTTCACACCTCTTCTACTTTCTTTCTCTTTTTTAAAATTACTCACATTCATATTTAACAACCACAGGTCCAGTTTCCTTCTCCTGGAAACCTGTTAGGAGATTCTACCCCTCTGTTTCTCCTTGCTTGTCACTCTGTTATCACTGTTTTTTCTGAGGTTATTCCTGCCTCATTTGATGATACTAGTTATCTTACCTGAAGCCTTTCCCTCTCTCCAGACTCAGGTGACACTCCACTGAACACCCTCTCACACTGCATGACAGAGTGCTTATTCTTATGCTTTACTGACCTCACTTGCTCTTCTCTCTGAGTCCAAAGGGGTCTTTTCTATATTCCCTACTTTTGTCATATATTTTAAGTTTTAGCAGACTCCCACCCTGAAGATTTGAGCTCTTTCTTTCTCTGTTTGTGACTGACAGTCCTGTCTACCTTTCATCTGCCCTTTGGTACTGGGTTTAATTGGTTCACAGGGTGTCTTCTCTACATGGGCCACTCCACTGTCTAATTTTTCAGAAACTGGAATTGAAATGTCTCTTCCCTGCCCCATAGCTGTATGATAATGTCTTCTTTCCTTCCTAATTGTTAGTTCTGCTGTGCTCTGAATTCTTTTTCCTGACACTGGAGAGTGGGCTTAAAACTCCTTTATATGCACTTGTCTTCACTAGTCTTATTATAATTTGCCATATTTTGCTCCTTTAAAAATAAGTCTTTTAAAACACCATCTTCTCAATTCCTACCCCCAACAAGGCTAGTATTATTTCATTTCTCGCTTGTTCTACTTACCAGCCAAATTTATAGCTTTTACTCTCTTTATACTATTAGTTTGTCCTGATGTGACTGTCAGATATGTTTCCCTAAGCACCTATGTATTTTTTAATAAATGTGGCAGGGTAAATCAACAGTAAATCTTTGTATTATTAGGATTGTTTCACCTGCAATTTTTTATTAATCCTGAATGAACCTGTTTAAGCAGAAGTGATTTATTACTACACATCACAAAATGTCCTGACATGGAGCAGCTCTAAGGATGACTAAATCCTTAGTCATTGCCTCACTAAATCCCTGAAGGTCTGTCTCTTCCTTGCCATTATAACTATGTCAGTATTTTCCTCAGATTAACTCCCTCATGGTCATCAGATCATTACAGTTCCGCCCGACACCCGCAGATATACCAATGGCCAGTGGGGCAAAAAAGACTGTTCCTTCCCATGTGGCCCTTTTTTTATCAGACATTAAAATCTATTTCAGGAAGCCCTAGCTGACTTACCATGTTTAACAGGCTAGATTTTTATCACCTACCCTGTCTAAAGAAGACTCAGGCAAGGGAAATGAAACCATCACTGTTGGCTCAGATAAATCATGCTTCCCCTTCAGCAGCGGGTATGGAGATGGGTCTCCAGTTTCCTAGCTGAAGCACATGGCCTTACAGATGGAGGTAGGACATAAAATCAGATCTCGGCCAACCAGGAAAAGGACAGCAGAACTGTCAGGTAGGCAGCATTGTACACCTTTATCTTCCTCTTTGGTGAGGGAGCATCCATTCACATCCTTCTTTCCATCCATCCACCTTCAAAAATATCCTATCATACCTCTATCCATTCTTAATCATATTAGTACAAGTCTAGGATTATTGTTTCTAATTAGACCTGGTGGTGTGTCTTCATGGTCTGGTGATCTATAATTAAAGATAAGTTATCCACATACAACTAGCCAGACCGGCTGAGTGGTAGAGAGACGTACAGAATGGTTACAACAGGAACCTTGTTCTGGGAGAGCAGCAGCGGAACCACAGGGAAGCCACTGGTTACAGTGCATTGGAACTGGGCTGCGCAGGCTGTTCCAGGGCTTCTGCCGTGGCTGTGGCCTGGTGAGCCCCAAATTCTCTCTTAGCCTGAATTTCTCTTCCTTTGTCTTCTGTAGCTAAACTCAAGATGAGCCACAGCCAGTAATCATGTTTAATATAGTCTTGAATCATGTTTAAACAGTTTTCAGTCTTGTGCTCACTGACTCTGGTATTCTGTGTTTATTTCTTGAATTCTTTGTGTCCCTTGAGATACCAGCAATGATCTGATTTTCTGGAATTACTGTTGCAAAAAAAAAAAAAATGCTCCATAGCAAATTCATTAGATTTCCTGGGAAATAAAATGAAGGAAACCAGAGATGTGAGAACCAAGGAAAAACAAGGAGTGTGGTGCTAGCAACAGAAAGATTGGAAGGGTAAAATATAGAAATTGACAGATTCAGTATCCATGAACTTTGACGTCTACAGTAACATCACTGACAGCCAAACGTGAGCAAATCTGATTCAAGGGCAAAGATGAATTACTCACTGGCCTGGTTTTTCCTGATGGAAACATTTATGACTTTAAGACCATTTAGTTGACAGTAATACTCCCTTCAAAGCCATTGTAATAGTCAAACATGCTCATATTCATTTCTTGGTACATGGGAATGGATATTGTCCCAGTTGGGAATCGGTGTTTAGGAACATATAACTTGGACATTGTGTACAAAATGAGTAAGAGAGTTCAAGTTTAGGCTTTAGAGGAACATGGAATGAGGTATTAAGACCCTGTGATATTGCAGTTTTCAAACCTGACCTGCTTCTGTCTTCTCTCAATACCCTGTTCTGTCCATCACTTTGGTCAGCATGTTACTTTGAGATACCTAGGTCCACTTAACCCATTCTCTCTTCTCTTCAGCCTCCCAATATTTGTCATTGTGCCTGAGGACTTAGTCCTGTGTCTTACTCTTTATTTATTTTGTATATTTGGAATTTGGCAGCAGTGCGGGGTGGTTAATGTTTAACCAGTGTCTGTTCACCTTGCCCCTCTGTTTTTCATTCCTCTTGGAGAAAAACAATTTCACCTCTTAGCCCTTTATCTTAGTGAATTTTCCTCCATGATTTCTGAATAACCAGCGCTTATTCTGTTGTACCTAGATTTTCTCCTAATTACTCAGTGTGAAGGATAGATTTAATTCTCTTTCATCCTCCTCCCCTCATATTCCTCATGATATACACACTGTCTTCTCATACCCACATGATCCTAATAAAGCTACTTTATGCTTTTGCTTAGAACAGTCTTCAGTTTTTGCATCTTCATGACTGTGTAATTTCCATTCACAGGCAAATATACAAGTGTACACTTGTTAGTTTTCATTCATAAATCACTTTTTCTGTTGAGTTGTTTTACTTGCCTTTCCAGTTTTCTCTGTTATTGCTCATATTTTTAATTAATTTAGCCCCAGATTCTTCTTCACGTGTCTAAATATTCTTTTGGTACATTCAGCTAAATTAGTGATTCTGTCAATTTCATCTTCCTGGTGACATCACTCCCAGGTCTTGTGACTTCCTCTGGTGTAACCTAACTTTTCTCATCACCTGGTTGTACAGTTTTTATCCTGGAATCTCCTTTCAAATTTTCTGTTTTTTTTTTTTTTTTTATGGTGTGTGTCCTCTTTCTTCTAGATTTGTTTTGTTGGAACATCTCTCACAGTATCTTCCTGTGAAAGGGTGCATTTGATATAAATGTTGGACCTGCACCTCTGAAAATGTTTATGCTCTACTCCCGAATGCTCTGTTTTCTTTATTCTGCTGATGCTGGTGAGAAGTTAGATCCATTGTAAACTTTGATCTATTATATGAAACGTTTCTGGTTTCTCTGGAAGTTTTACTCACTGCTGCTGTACAGTGTTCTGAAACATCGTGATGATGTTTCTTGTGAGTTTATTTCCATCTGTTTGGGTATTCAGTGGACCTTTATTCCCTAGAGGAGTGTAAACCAATCTGCAGTGGTTCTGCTCTTTCTCCTGAGTTTACCAATATTTGGCAAATAATAGGTATTTAATGATTATTTGTTAAATAATTCTAGTGCTTAGAGACCTTTCCCACTTTATGTTTTCCTCATTTTACCTTGTGCTTTCTAAAAAAGGTATAGTACAAAAATTTGAAACTCAAGACTCTATTTATTGGCAGTTCCCTATGCCTATGTTCATGTTTTGAGTTGCTTTGTTTTCCTCAGTGTCCAGGAGTTGTCCAGGTACCAGTTGTCCAGTACTCCAGACACTGGAGTCCAGTGACCAGTGTCCAGGTACCTTAACTCTTGAGATTTTATTTATGTTCAGAACTGATATCAGAAACTAAGAAAAACCTCATGACATGGCATTTTTAAGGTAATTTTATGCTATACCAAGATCATGTTACTATTCACAACATGAGTATTTTCATTTCTAGATAAAGTCTGGGAAATTAATGATTGTATGGAATGGCATCAGGAAAATTAAGGCAGAAGACTATCCTTGTACTGCATTTGGAAAACTATTTTCTTAGTGAAGATTATATTTCTTCAAGACAAAGACTTCATAAATGTGTCACAAATGGAAAGAAGTTGAAATATAATATAGATTTTAGTAGTAATTATGCTGGAAAGAATCCTAATGGGTTTTGTGTACAGAGAGAATCACCCTTCCATTCTAAACATGAACAAGATATTATTGGCATAAAACACTGTGAAAGTATTGAATGTGGGAAAACTGCCAACAGAAAGTCATAGTTCATTTGCCAACAAATGCATATAGGAGGAGAGCCCTTTGACTACAGTTCCTGTGAGAAGGCGTTCAGTAGTAAGTCATACCTTGTGGTGCATCAGGAAACTCATGCAGAAGAAAAGCCTTACAAGTGTGATGGATGTGGGAAAGACCAGCAGCAAGTCCTACCTCATTGCACATCAGAGAACTCACACGGTAGAGAAGTTACATGAATACAGTGACTGTCAGAAAACTTTTAGTTTCAATTCACAACTTGTTATACATCAGAGAATTCACACACGGGAGAATCCCTGCATGTTGTGAATGTAGAAAAGTTTTCAGTGGAATAGACCAGCTTGTTTCCCACCAGAGAACTCATTCAGGACAGAAACACTGCAAGTGTTGTGCATTTGAAAAAACTTATGATTTGAAATCACAACTCATTATACACCAAAGCATTCATATAGGAGAGAAACCCTATGAAGGCATTGATTGTCAGAAAGCCTTTAATACAGTTTTAATTCATGGTACATCAGAGAACCCACATGGGGGAGAAACCTATGGTTGTTGTGAATGTGGGAGATTCTGCAGTGAGTCACAGCTCATTGTACGTCAGAGAGCACACAGTGGGGTTAAACCCTATGGATGTAATCAGTGTGGAAAAGCCTTCAGTTTGAAGTCACAACTCATAAGTCATGAGAGGGTAACAGGCAGGAAGGCCAGGGGTCTCCAAACGGAAGAAATAGTCTGCAAGTGTCAGACATTTTTATCTCTCTCTTAAGCGGCAGGAGGAAATAAACTAGTGATATATGTGTATATATATATATTTTTCCCTTCTCTATACAAATTTAAAAAGGTTTCTCTTAAAATACTGTGTTGCTGTAATGACACCTGGTTCCACCTGAAGTTAACTGTTCTCAAACCTTGAGTTAACCAATGCATTTTCTTATGGAAATGTCTTAAGCTATGTTAATGTACTATGCATTTACCCCAGACTCTGTCTTCAAGTCAGTTCTGCCTAATGGCTCAGAACTTACTTGACAACCATTATATTATACTCAGACATTGTTCCCCCTAACCTATGTAAACAAAACTATTTGTATGGTAATCCGCCCTTCTACAAGATTCAAGTCAATTGTTTTATGGCCCAGGATGACTCATTTTTTGCCAAGATTATCCCAAAATACATCTTATGGATGAGGGGCCTGGTGTCATTCTGAGTTTTAAGACATTCCTTTCTTTCATTAACAAACTGCTAGTGACTGTATAACGTCCAGCTGTATGAGACTAGCGGGGTGGGTGGGGGTACTCTTTCTGCTCCTTTCTGATGCCAATGTCAGAAGCTTTCTCTATCTCCTTTATACTTTAATAAAACTTTATTACACAAAAGCTCTGAGCAATCAAGCCTTGTCTCTGGCCGCGGATTGAATTCTTCTCCTCTGGAGGCCAAGAATCCTGGCGTCTTTTTGTGGTTCAGCAACAACCTTTCAGTCACACAGGAGTGAAACCCTATGGATGCAGTGAGTGTGGGAAAGCTTTTAGAATGAAGTCCTACCTCGTTTTACATCAGAGGACTCACACAGGAGAGAAACACCATGAATGGTGTGAATGTGGGAGAGCCTTCAGTTTGAACTCACAACTCGTTATACATCAGAGAATTCACACAGGGGAGAAGCCCTATGAAGGCAGTGATTGTGGGAAAACTTCGTTTGAACTCACAACTCGTGATATATCAGAGAATTCATACAGGAGAGAAAACCCATGAATGTAGTGAATGTTGGAAAGCCTTTAAAACAAAGTCTAACCTTATTATACATTGGAAAACCCACGCAGGAGAGAAAACCCATGAATGTAGTGAATGTTGGAAAGCCTTTAAAACAAAGTCTAACCTTATTATACATTGGAAAACCCACGCAGGAGAGAAACCCTGTAGTTGTAATGAACGTGGGAAAGCCTTCAGTTGGAACTACCATCTCATTTCACATCATAAAACCCACACAGGAGAGAAACCCTATGGTTGTAGTCACTGTGAGAAAGCCTTCAGTTAGAAATACCATCTCATTTCACATCAGAGAACTCATACAGGAGAGAAACCCTATGCATACAGTGAAAGTTAAAAAGCCTTCAATACAAAGTCAAACCTCATTGTACATCACAAAACCCACATAGGAGAGAAACCTTATGGTTGTACTGTATGTGGGAAATCTTTTACTTTCAAGTTATGGCTCATTGTACATCAGGGAGCACACACTGGGGTAAAACCTATCAATGTAATCAATGTGGAAAGGCTTTCAGTTTGAATTCATACCTCGTTGTACATGAAAGAAGTCAGACAGGATTGAAACTCTATGGATGCAATGAATATGGGAAAGCTTTTAGGAGGAAGCCCTACCTCATTATACATACGAGGACTCACAGGAAGGAAACCACATGAATGCAGAGAATGAAGGAAATCTTTCAGTTTTAATTCACAACTTGTTGTATGTCAGAGAATTCACACAGGAGAAAATCTCTATGTATGGAATGAATGTGAAAAGGCCTTTAATAGAGAAGATCAACTCATCTCACATCAGTGAACTCACACTGGGGAAAAATCTTATGGGTGCAATGAGTGTGTGAAGACATTTAGTAGCAAGTCATACCTCATTATAAACATGAGAACTCATTCAGGAAAGAAACCATATGAGTGTCACAAATGTGAGAAAGCCTTTATTTTGAAATCACTGCTCATTGTACATGAGTGAACCCATGCAGGGGAAAACCCTTATGAATATAGTCAGTGTGAAAAAATCTTTCAGTGGAAAATTCTGGCTCCTTGTATATCAGAGGATGGAAACGAGAGAAGCCCTATGACTGCAATGATGTGAAAAAGCCTTCATTAGAAAATCTAAGTTCATTGTACACCAGAAGACTCATTCAGGGGAGAAACCCTATTGATGCAGTGAGTGTGGAAAAACCTTCTCTCAGAAATCAATTCTCAGTGCACATCAGAGGACTCATACAAGAGAGAAACCCTATAAATGCAATGAATGGGGGAAAGCCTTTTGTTGGATCCCAGTTCACTGTACATCAGAGAACTCATGCAGATGAGAAATTTGCCAGTGAATTATATGTAAGAAACTTTCTCTGTAAAGTGAATTTCCAGGAATTCCCAGAAAATTCATGCAGGAGAGGAACTCTGTAAATCATTTCATTGTATACCATGTATGTATGGCGTGTTGAAGGATATCCACAGAAAGCTGTTTTTTATACATACAATAAAAATAAGTAAACATAGGACCCCTATGAATTCAGTGAACCCTATAAAAGTTCTCAGCAGGAAAGTGTACCATTTCTTTAAGTTTGTTCAGGTGAGGAACAATATGAATGAAATGAATGTCAGAAAATAATTTTTAATATGGTAGCATTCATGGAAAGGAAATTCCATAATGCAAATTAATATAGAATAAAATCCTTTAAAATTCATAATTTATTAATAATTAGGATTTTAGTGAGAGAAAATATAAAATGAATGAATTGTAGATATCAGAAACTGATACTTGGGAGAAACCAAGCCAAAAAGAAAAGAAAAGAAAAAAGAAAAGATGATTTATGATTGTTTTTGTTCCGATGAGGTAAAGCCTTAGTAGAAATGTTTGCTTCACTATTTTTAAAAATAAATAAATATGGAGAAGGAAATGGCAACCCACTCCAGTATTCTTGCCTGGAAAAGTCCATGGACAGAGGAGTCTGGTGGGCTGAAGTCCATGGGATTACATGACTGAGCATGTGTGCATGAGGGTGGAGGGAAATGGGTTGGTAGCAATAAAGTGGTAGAATTAAAAATAAAAAATAAAAATAAATAAAAATAAATTTATATTTTAATAAATATATATTATTTTATTATAAAATTTATTTTTATATTATATAAAAATAAATATATATTTATTTTAAAATAAATAAAAATGTGTTTATTCATTTATTTATTTGGCCGCATCGGGACTTAGTTGCAGCATGTAGGATCTTTTTTGCATCATGCAGGATCTTTCATTGTGGTGCCAGGACTTGCTAGTTGTGACATAAGGTTTAGTAGTTGTGGTGTGAGGGCTCCAGAGTGCCCAGACTTCAGTAGTTGTAGTAGGCAGGCTCTCTAGTTGTGGTTAATAGGCTCCCGAGTGTGTGGGTTCAGTAGTTGTGGCTTACAGGCTTAGTTGCTCCACAGTGTGTGGGATATTACTTCCCCAACCAAGGATCAAACCTGCATCCCCTGTATTGCATGGCAAATTCTTAACCAGTGGACCAACAGGGAAGTCCCTACTTCACTATTATTTTGGTTCACTTGGACAAAATAATTTCCTTTAGAAAGGACTTTAAGGTTATAAAGATGTCCCAAAATTTTAGGAAAAGATTGGAGAAAGTATATAACTATCAGTGATATACATGTTCATAATACAACATAAAGACTTTTTAAAGTATATGATTGAATGTAATAACCAATATAACAGTAAGGATTGCATCATAAACCCTTGGATGTTTAGGATCTTTCTCTCTGTACTCTAAAATATGCTTTGTGTAGTTTGCTGCAATTATTAATTAGTTCCTTCTACTAGGTTACCCAGAATAACTTAAATTATCATCACTTTTTAATCAAATTATCAAGTTAAAGAATGTTACACCCCTTTAATTATAGCAAGGTAATGGCAGTTCTAAGGGCTCCAGGTAGCTCAGTGGTAAAGAACCCAACTGCCAAGCAGGAGACTTGGGTTTGAAGATCCCTTAGAGAAGGAAATGGCAAACCGTCTCCAGTATTCTGGCCTGGGATTTCCCATAGACGGAGGAGCCTGGTGGACTACGGTCCATGGGGTTGCAAAGAGTTGGACACAACTGTGTGGCTAAACAACAATAACAGCAATGGCAATTCTAGCCAATATGTGAGAACAAAAAGTTGTAAGGAATTGGGGCTGAGGCAAAAATCCTGTTGTTTGTGGATATGATTGTCTATTTAGGAAAACCAAAATAAACTACAGGCTGTAAGGCAGAGTTTTGTTTTGCAAAACTCTGAAACCAGGCAGCTTGGCTGTGAACACAATCAAATCTCTTCAATGTTTCCACACTCAGATTCCAGGCCCTGCTGAGGGAAACATCCTGGACTGCCCTTGAGATATCTGTAGACAGTTTTGTACTAATCAGCCAAAAGCTTCAGCAAACCTCAGACAACTGAAATACAGATCAGATTGATTTATCTGTACCTTATCTCCCAGCCTAAGAGCTCACATTGGAAAATATGTGCCCTTTTATGAAAGTAAATATATATTAAGTGCAAAGAAAATTATCAGGAATATATAGGAACATTATATAAGGAAAAGCATAATTTTACAAAAAAAAAAATCCTAAATGTGTGTACTTAACAAGAAAGCTTCAAATTATGCAAAAAAGAGCTGAAAGAAGAAATACACTCTACCATTTTACTTCAGCATTTATTTCTCAGTAACATAACTTTAAGATCAAATATCAGGAAGGCTATAGAAGGACTTAATAATGACATCACCAAACTAGACCTGGTAGACATATCTAGAACATCCAACAGCAGAATACATGTTCTTTTCAGTTGCATATGAAACATTCACCAATACAGGTCATGTCCCAGATCATTAATCTTAAAATGTTATAAATAATTAAAAGCATACAAAATTTCTTCCATCTATAGTTTCCCCTGTTGGGGAATTAAGATCCTACAATCCATGTGGCATGGCCAAAAATTTAAAAAAAGAAGAGGAAGAATAAAACAAGATACAAATTGGAAAGGAAGATGACAACTGTGTTCAGAGACAGCATTATTGCTTTCACTGAAACTCCTCTTAAAACTACCCCCGTCAAAAAAGGGGCACCAATGTGGAGAGGGAATAAATTGGGAAATTGGGCTTGACATATATACAGTGCTATATATAAAATAGGTAGCTAATAAGGATCTACTATATAGGTCAGGAAACTGTATTCTGCAATGATCTATATGGGGACTAAATCTAAGAGTGGATATATGTGTATTTACAAGTAACTCACTTTCCTGTACAATAACAGAAACTAACACAACATTGTAAGTCAAGTATGCTCCAACAGAAAAAAAAATTTTTTAAGTCACAAGTCAATTCAACAAGATAGCAAAATATAAAATCAATACTCACAAATCAGTTCTTTTTTACATACTCAACAGCTTCCTTGGTGGCTCAGATGGTAAAGAATCTGCCTGCAAAGAGGGAGACCCGGATTTGATCTCTGGGTTGGGAAGGTCTCCTAGAGAAGGAAATGGCTACCTGCTCCAGTATTCTTGCCTAGAAAATTCCATGGACATGGGAGCCTGGCAGGCCACAGTCCATGGGGTCACAAAGAGTTGCACACAACTGAGCAACTAACACTTTCACACTTTCAGCATTCAATGGGAAATCTGCGTTAAAATGCACCACTATTTATGATAACACCAAAAAACAAACCAGCAAACTACCATGGAATCATTAAATGTAAGTCAAATGAAATGTATGCTAGTAACAACAATGAAGAGGGGAATAATGATGACCTAGATATTGGGAGGATATGCCCTGTTAAAGAATTGGAAGATTCAATGTTGTTAAAGTTTCAGTGTTCTCCACACTGAATTTTAGATTGAATCTCTTTCCAATCAAATTCCCAGGAAGATTTTCTGTAAAAATAGACAAACTTATCTTGAAGTTTATGTGGAATAGCAAAGGAACTAGAATACTCATAATTTTGAACAGGAAGAATATTTGCAAGACTTGTACTATTTGATTTCTAGGCCTATCATTAAGCTGCGGTAGCTAAGACAGTGTGGTCTTCTGAAAGGACAGAAGATTAGTGAAACAGAAGAGAGTCCTGAATAAAATGACACACTACATAGTGAATTGATTTTAGTCATTATTATAAAATCAGTTCTTTGGAAAGTGGATAGTTTTTTTTTTTTTTTCAAAAAAATGGTGCAGAAACACTTTCACATCTGTTTGAGAAAAATATGTATCTTGGTGTATACTTACACTGTACACAAAAATGTAGCGGTTGAGCATCCAGTTAAAGGGCTGATTAGGACTAAAATGAGGGTTGAACAAAGATTGTTGTTGTTCAGTCATTGTTGTTGTTCAGTCACTAAGTCATGTGTGAATATTTGCAACTCCATGGACTGC